GAGTTTGCTTCCTTTAATATTCATTATCAATCTATTATATTTCCAATTTCTGTATGAATGTTGAAATTTCTTGGCATTTAGCGGATTCCACCTCAAGTCCGAGGGAAGTGAACTTGCCATGCAAAAACTTGGGTGATGCTTGTGAGTTATCTATGCTCCTAAGTCGCCAAGTGACTTTCTAACCATATTAACAGCTAATGGAGCTGGCATAACCAGAAATGGTGATAGCTAAATAATTATTTTAATTGGCTGACTCCACACATCATTAGAAATACAGCACATATTCATCACAGAGTCCTTTGGTGAGAAATACGAATGGGTCCTCCAGCAGTACACAAAGTAGCAAGGAGATATAGATTTTTAGAAATACAGCACATATTCATCACAGAGTCCTTTGGTGAGAAATACGAATGGGTCCTCCAGCAGTACACAAAGTAGCAAGGAGATATAGATTTAATGAAGAATGGTTCAGCATATTTTATTTGCAACTCAGCTCATAGGAAATTCATGAACAATATTATGCGAGGATTTTTTTTTGTAAGAGGGCTGTGTTGCGCACAAAAACCAGAAATAAATTTTGGCACCTAAAACTCATTTGTTAGACCTAAAAGCTCGAGCGATTAGATTACATCTAGCTTTTTTAATCTTAAAAAACCTTTTTTAAGATTAACGAATTAACTAACTAACTAATAAGATTAACTAAATACACCAAAAAGATTATTTGCTAGAATTCCAATTTTTCACTAAGCAAAATTTCTTTCAAAAGTCCTTTGTGAGCTATGAATTTAATTTCGCGAAATTTTGTGTTAAAATAGGTAATTCTGATAGGAACAGCATATGGCTGAGCTTTTTCTTGTTTAGACTATCAGCTCAAACATCACTTTCGGGCATACGGCCTCATTAACAATCAAATCCGAATAATGCTAGGAACACAACTGTACTTCTATCCTCAGCCAATCGAGTTTAGTCGAACCAATGTTTATGAAGAATATAACTAAAAAAAAGTTCTTTGTTCTTCAAATATGCTAATATATATTATTCTTGCAAAATACAGCCTTCAAGCAGTGCATATATTACCATAAGTTCCCTACCTAATTTTAACATTCATCTTTTCAGCTAAATTAATAAAATGCACGAATTGATAAATTATTTTTTCTATCCATGAAGAAAGTGAAAAAAGAGTCATTGAAGTCATTGAAGTTTTTTATTTTCTGAAAATATTAGAAAACAAAAATAAAAATATGCGAATATGTGAACTTAATGATAATAATAACCTACAGCATTTTAATTTTTTCTAGAATTTCGAGTGAGGCGAACTTCGTTGGTTTGCTGGATTAGATGATTTTTGCCAGAAAGCCAGTTAACGATAGATATAAGAGCCAGCCGCCAGCCAGCGCAACCCCATTTTCGATGGAGAACTTCCCTCTGCTGGGCGTGAATCCTTCGTCTCAACACTCCAAAATGGGAGCAAAAACCCACTGAGCCACCTCATCCTCTGATATTTTGCTTCAGTTTTCATGCCTTTTTTTCTGTTTTAATTATTGCAAGAGAACCCTGCCACACACAAGTACTTAATTTTCATCATGCGTTGGAAGATCCAGAAAGATATCTAATATTGAGCTGTTATAGACGAAAGTCTTGAATCGTTGCTCTTAGAACTATTGTGTATTTCGAGTGATTAAAGGTCTTTTTCGGGCTTTTTTTTTTAATCAAGTACTTGAGAAAAGAAAGGAGGGATTTTGTTAAAGAAATGTTGGCAGATGAAAGTTGTCACTCGTGGCATTTGTAGTTCTGAATGTGATATTTTACGCGAATGAATTTCTCTTTAAATGTACTTATGTGCTTAATTTTCAGTTATATTTTTGATTTCATGTACATTCGGACCGTTCACATTCATCGATTCTGATAGGCTTATTTCACTGCATTGCATTTAATGCAGTGCAAAGCTTCGCATGGCAAGAGAATTACATTTCGGTCCTGAAAATTTTTGGTGGCTAGTTTTCTTCGGTTAGAGGGAGCATTGGGTTTTCTTCCGCCCGGAATCGTAACTCAACCAGCCATTCGGTTATGCTGTGTCTTTTATAGCTCGCGAAGCTTTAATCTTCATGTTTTCACTTACATAGATGATTTGTTTATAGGAATTTTATATTACAGTGGTTTTTTTACGTTCTCTTGAGCTTTGCAGCTGATTGTAAATACGACTGCCTGTCTAGCAGCTAAATCCGTGGTTATCGTTCTTTTTTTAGATTCAGCTAAAGCTGTTATGTGCCTAAAATTGACTAATTCAGCCGATCGTCATTACCAACTTATTGGCTAAACTTTAACTATGGCTTTATCGGATTATTGAATAAAGGCTAAATAGAAATGGTGGGAAAGAAAATTGATGAAGTTGGCTGCAAGGATTCTTCGCTTGTATTTAGGTCCACATCCAGCAAGTCTCTTCCCACTAATCTGGTTTCTCTCTGCTTGATTTTAGGTTATGAAAAACTAATTTTCCTGCTGAGATTAGTGGATTTGATGTTTTTCTTTAATTTTTGATCTATTTTTCTCGTTGTATCATAAAATTCAGCTGCTATTTCACCATATTTTATATTTCATGCAAAATATTTTAGGTAAAATGCGCAACTTAAAAATATTTAATGTTGGCCTTACTACGAAACCCTTTCGTATCTCCCAAAAAATTCTTTGAAAAGACAAGGGGACGACTCAGCCACTCTAGATTCATGAAATTAATGCCATATTTCCTAAAGATGAGTGAAAAGATTCTTTCAAAAAACTTTTTTAGCCATTTTTTTCCATAACCCATTAGTATCGCCATCTTAATTATTTTTTAGTTTTTTATTATTCTGTTCTTTTTATTCTGTTCGAGTCAAGTCTTAACCTTTTAATACTCGCCAGTTATTTACTCTTAACGTGTCCTTAATAGCCTACTTGATGAAAATCACTGAAAAAATATAAAAGAAAATAGAGTATGTTAAAGGAGAACAGTGGAGATTAACAGGCTGAGGAATGTGGAAGCAGTTTATCAGGTACAGGAGATGTGTTGAGGGATTGATATATTTGGACTTAAAGGCGTCTTTTGCTAGTTTTTTTTTGATATTGTGAATTTATTATCAGTTTTTAGGTAAATGAGTTCAAGAATTTATTCAGCTTTAGAATCAGATGATGATTATAAATCGCACAAAAATCGAACATTTGAGGATGATTTTGCAGTACCTTCAAAGGTTATTCTTCCATATTTTTTTCTCATGTTTTCGTTTGCTTCAGCATTTTCCTTTCTTTATTTATTGTTAGAAATATTCAGTATTATAATTCAGTATTATTCGTTTAATTTGTAAAATCAAACGATTATTCTTGGCTGATAAGTGAAATAATGAAAATCGGCAGAAGTGGAAGTATGGAAACAGTTCGCATGACAAGAAACTATTAGTATTGAAAAGTGAGTATATGCCCAGAAAAAAATTTTAATTGCTTTGAAGCAGCGCGAGCTTCATTTTTGGAATAGAATTCTTGTTGGAAAGGAGAAGAAATATAAGGAAGAACTGTGATAAATGTTAACAATGGAAAATAATGCGTTGAGAAAGCGGGAAAAATTTTCCCAGAAACAAAATGGAATTGTATGGTCAATAAATTAGAGATTATTGAACGATTTAACGAAATAACCTTTTTTTAATGTGATTATCAAAAAGAATTTGCAAAGAAAAATGGAAACATTTTGAAAGATTTTTTTTGAATTTTTGTTAAAATTGGAATGTGATTACTGGAAATTGCTAAAAAAAGATGTCGAGGAGAGAAGTCGAAGAATGATTTCGAAAATCCTTAGCGAAACATGAAGAAAAGATTGGTTGTTGGTGATTAGAATTATTTATTTGTTTCGCTCTATTAGCCATAAAAGTTTGTTTTTAATTTAATTTCATCTTTTTTTGGCTCTATCTATATGTGATTTCTTATGTGATTTCTTTATTTTTGCTTCATTTTTATTTCTTTTTTATTTATTATTATTTTTTGTTGTACCTGAAGCATTTTAAGTTTAATTTTACATTTTTCACTGAAAAAGTTTTCGCTACGGTCATTTTATCGTAATTGAAAAGTATTATCGTGGAGGCTGTAAATTTTAATTTATCTTTGTATAGAAATGTTTGCATGATTCAAAGTTTTTAAATTCATATCAGCATGAATTTCAGCTTTAATGAAAATTATCTATTTTTTTTTATTAAGCTTGTTAAATAATTGCGATATTCATTGCGAGGTTGTCACTTCAAAAATATTCAAAATGGCTATTATATGTAATCTTCGTTAAAACTTTATTTTCTATTTTCTAGGAGGCAGATTATGAAAAGGACCAAGCCAAGAAAAAAAGTAAGGGTTCTAGACGATCTAATCGTGCAACAAATCCGAGAAAGAAGGTTATTGAAAGTGGTATAGAATTTACTTCACTTGTTTCGTCGAAAATTATTTTCTTTTAATTTTTTAATTTTCCATGTTTTGTTGGAGGTTTTTTATAGAGAATGGTAGCAGGCCTTCATTACCTTAACAATCATATTTGTTCGCAAGTAATTTTAACACAGAAAAAACGAAGCAGATATATTTTCATTGGTCAACATTAATCGACAAAAATTTCTTTTTGCTATACCTATAAGAGTCGGATTTAGCAGATGCAAAATTGGGTTTTTCAGTTTCAATCTTAAAATTTCAGTGAAAAAGATTTTCATCAAAAAATGGGATTTTTTCATTAAAAAATGGAAAATCGATTGTAAACTAATTCACAGTATTAACTTAATCATAAACCTAAACGACATTTTGAGCATAATTTCTACCTAGAATTTATCCCCATCAGTAAAATTTTCGTTTAAAGTAAATTTATCAATGAATCAATGAAATGTATTCCAACTATTCTTTTTTGGAATTTCAAGTCACTATGCTTACAGTTTTAAGTCTAAAGGTCTTAATTATTATTCTTAACGCTAATCCACATTTCATTCCATGTCAGGTTCTGTACAATGTATTTTAAAGGAACATCTGAGGAAGATTCGGATTCAGATGGGCGTATGGCATCAGGAAGCAGAAAGAGAAAAACTGTCAAGCCGCGTAGTATTGCAGTGAAAAAGGCCAAATATGTGAGCTGTTCTGAACAAAGTTCATCAAATGATGAAGTTAGTTTATTCTGGAATTTTTGATTAAAACCAATGAATATTAAAATAAAAAATCAGTGAAAGCTCCATATTAACTAGCAATTGATAAATTATTGCAGGTGTCAGAAGTGGATGAATATGATGACAATATGTTTCTAGATGAAGAAGACAGACGTCGATTAGAAGGGATGTCCGAAAAAGATCGTGAAGCAGAAATCTTCAAACGGGTCGAACAAAGAGAAATACTGCGAGCTCGGTGAAATTTTAGGTTTTTATAAAATTGATATTCCATTACATTTGAATTTTCATGTCTTTTAACTTTAATACATTAATTCATTACATACATTACATTAATTTTCATTCAAAATTACGATATTAATAAGAGTTAAAATTAGGGAGAAGCAGTTTGGTATGAAGAAAAAAAGGAAAGAATGATAAAAATTGCGAAATCTATTTATGTATTTCATATTCAGTCATGCTATACAAAAGAAGATATTGGCGAAGAAGGAAGATGGTGAAGGATTGAAAAAAAAAGAGAAGAAAGATAAGAAAAAAAGAAAAGAAAAAGAAAATCGCCGAGAGAAAGAAATAGGTATAGGTTTACAAAATTTTTTCATTATTCTGTCATGCTTTTTCTTTTTGATATTCGTTATCCTTTTTCTTTCAGCCAAGAAAAGAGAGAGAAGCGATATTTATGATGGTCAGAGTGATACGGATCCATCAACCAAAGGTGAATTAAATTTATGTTTATTGAATTTTTTTAAAAATAGATGTCTGTTTCTCGATTAAATTTCAAAATTTAATTTCTAGAAAGGTCATTTAACTTCGCTACTAGAAAAGACGATATTAAAGAAACTTATGATGAATATCTACGTCCATCTGAAGTACAACGAAAAGAAAAGCAAAAATCAGCAATGGCCGATCTTTTGAATCGCCGTAAGGAGAAACGTGAAGGTTAGAAGTTAGATAATCATGATTTGTTGATAAATTATGGGCAGCGCTTTAAAGTTATGTTTTAAGAGGTCGATTGATCAAATATGAATCGCGTTTTTGAAAGAAAGAATTATTATCTTAAAAATAATCAAATTGAATGATAGGAATTTTTAATTCTGAAAAGTTCAGCTGAACAAAAAAAGAGAGATAAGTCTTCACTAAGTATCGATGACGTTTTTGGAGATGATAATAGTGAAGAGGCCGAAAAAAGTTCCAGTTTTTCGAGTCATTCTTCGAGCCGTTCGTCTAGTCCAGATTCTAGTCGGCATAGTCGTAGTGCATCGGTAGAAAAGAAAAAAGAGGTTTGAAATATATTTTCATTATATACTTTCAAAGAAATTTCTTGAATATTATATAGATGGCCACTTCATTGCTTGAGGGATAGAAGTAACGATGGGTCCTCAGTGTTACCAAAAAATGATGAAATTGCAGAAAGCTCATTTTCATGCTTGACCGCAGTTGAACTCGATCATTCTATTTATTGACAAGTTATTTTTGATTCGTTTTCAGGTGAATTGTCTTGACGATATTCAGCGTATTCGTTTGTCGCGATTTAAATTGGCAAGATTTGTGCATACACCATTTTTTGCCAAAACAGTTATTGGATGTTTCGTTCGTATTGGAATAGGGAAACACGATGGTCGAAGTGTTTATCGTGTATGTTAATGTTGTATTTAATTTGGTAATTCGAAATCTCTTTTTTCTCTCTACCTTTTCTATCTGAAATTATTCATTAATTTCAGTTATTCAGCAGTTGAAATTTCAGGTTGCTCAAATCATAGATGTGGTGGAAACTGCCAAAGTATATAATTTGGAATCAACTCAGACAAACAAAGGTTTAAAATTAAAGCACGGAAACGACGAACGTGTCTATCGTTTGGAATTCATTTCTAATTCTATATTTACACAAAGCGAATTTGATAAATGGATAGGTACAATGAGATCCGGCGTATGTTTTAAAGATAATTTTTTCGTTTTATTTTATTAAAAAATAAAACTTGCTCCAGCTGCTAGAAGTTTAAAAAATATTTTTAGAATATTTCGCTTCCAACCATTGATCATGTAGAAAGGAAAGTAGCTGATATTAAAAGCGCAATGGAATATAATTATTCTGACAAAGATATAGATCAGGTTAGTTCAATATTTTTATTGATTTTCGTTTACATAATTTTAATGTTGAAAAGTTTATGCTGGAAATATTATAGATGATCCAAGAAAAGGCTCGGTTCAAAAAAACGCCTTTCAATTATGCACTGGAGAAGGGAAATCTGATGAAGATGAAGGTTTGTAAAATTTTCTATTTAATTTTATCCTAAAGGCAAGCATTCCCGTTAGGTGATACGAAAAGGATTTTATTTTCTTCAGAATGGTGGAATGGCATAATGAGTTATTGCTCTCATTTGGAATGCCAGTTCTACTCCCGTTGGTTGTGAATAAATTTATCTTTAAAAAATCCAAGTGGTGCTGGCGACTCATCTGCACCTCCTTTTGCAAATGACTTAGGGAAAAATTTGTCTGATTCGACAAACCAGCGGTGCGAGTCTGACCAGAAATGGTGAGATGTCCTAGAAAAAAAACTTTTACCTTTATTTTGAATGTAGCATGGAAGATATGCATAAAAATTTTGTTTGCCGGAAATATTTGCCTTTTTATCTATTTCTGAAATTGAGTTCTCTAAGATATCTTTTTTCATAATGCTTATTGTGAAAAATATAGAGAGGCAGTACAATGGTAGTGACGTCTGCCATGCAACTTTTATTTTATTATTCGTTGCCTTGCTTTGAACGGGTAATATAATAAGTTGTAAGATTGCCGCACGATCAAATTTTTAATCCCCATACTTGGGTAATTAAATCATCAATAACATAAGACAAAATTTGAATATAATTTAAATTTACAAAGAGAGCCTAAAAAAAAGTATTATACTTTATACTATGTAAAACTCTAACTACAAAAAAAAGTAATAAAATTAATTATGTGAGATTCGACCCGGCTTCTTGGGTCTCGCATTCATAGAATGAATAAAATTTTTGAGACAGCGGAAGGGTGTGAATCATTCGCCTATGCCAAATTTTCACCAAAACTGGTAAATTTTAATTTAAGTGCAGATCTGGAATCGTGTTGAAATTCGCTGTGCATGTCGATAAAATTTATGCTTAAAAATAACGGGATTTTTGTGGCCCAGAGCGGATCAGATCAGTGAATTGTAAGATTTCAGAGGGGTCTTCATTAAATAGGCTAAAAATCTTAGATTTCTACTGTTTCTACTATTAGGGTTCTACTATTAGGGTTTAGGGTTCAATTTCTACTATTAGGGTTCAGACAATAAGTTCTTACCGATTGAACGTATCATGGCGTTTTTGACATTGTTAATCTTTCATAAATTCCACCTTGCCGTGGCGCTATGGAGATGATGAGCCATTAATTGGTGCTGGAATCAATCTGTTTTGATTTGATTAGTTTTGCTAATTCAAAATAAATAAAGTTTTTATTGAAATGAAAAGTAGATGAATACGGAGATCCATCTTTTTTCAGTGAAATTTTGTGATTTAATGTTTTTGATTTCAAAAAGATCGACTCCAGTCGATGTAACCGAATTGATCCCCAGTGTTTGGAGATGGAAGTCCATTCTAATTGGATATCGGATTGTAATTATCGATGCCAGTCACAGCTCCATGCCGTTTGAAGAATGGGTGCTCCAAATGAGATGTCATCATGGGTATTATAAGCCATACCTAGAATTTCCAAGAATAAGGTTGGTCTCGATTTATTATCTACTTATATTCATCGTATGTGTCAATGGCTTCTGAAGATTCACAGGAGAGCCAGTATCTCCTAATGTCCAAAATTATGACATATTTTCGTGGTTCGTTGTAGTGAAGGTCATTTTGTTAATAGCTTGGCTACCTTTTCGAGTTTTAGGATTAGATGAGGGGATATTTATTTTTCTACTATAATGGTGCCTAACTGGGATGAGATTATATGAAGACTGGAATAAGAATCTAAACTAGTGGACGCGAAGTTAAAGAAAGTAAAGTAATTGCATCCAATTGAAATATCGGGAGAAGCGAGCTTGACGTTGACGGTGAATTTTGCCTAATTGACGTTTTTATGGATATATTTTGTTGGAAGTGTTAATTAGGCATGGTATTTACTATTATAATTGAGGAGCCCTTATTTTAAGAATAAATCTTACATCAGCCACATAGGACCTAATATGGTTTGATTAGATAGCAGCGAAACTTGAGGCTGCAAAAGTTTGTTGGTTTTTCGTATTTAATTTATTTTTTTAACGTTTTTATGATGATGAACTCATCGAAAAGAGCCAACCAATGCCTTTGTAATTTTAATTGGTTTTTTGGGATTTCTGTACATTGGTTACGCCAGTGGTTGTTTTTACAGAAAACATATTTTCTAATTACGGCTTTCGAGACAAGAGGGAGGACTGGAAAGGTTTTGGATATGGCGAAATGTTTGAGTGGAAATATTTTGTTAATGGTCTGAGGACTGCTTGAACCTTTGTTGATAAAAGTCCTGAAATTAGAGCCATTTAGTTTTTTTGGTTATGAACTGGAGGATATTCGTTGAATTCAATCTCTTTTTTGTCACATACTTCGAGAATTTGACGAAGATTTCAAAGATTCCACTGAGGACATTTTATTTTTTCTAAGCCGCACTTCTTGTCACTTTTGGTGATAATCATAACTTCTGTAAGAATAGAAGTATTGTTCTTCACCAAGATTTGCCATCTATTTCAAGATTCTTTTCGATATTTGGTTTAAATATTGGGACTTTATAGTGATTCTTGAGAGGCAGCTGTTCAAAAATGATAGAGTGCGACGAATATTAAATGTACTGTCCCGAATTTTCTAAATTTCATTATAAGATTGGTTGTCGACTGAGAAGTTTTAGCCAGTTGCCTTTCCATCTAGACGCACTATTAAGCGTTTTAGTTTATCGACTGATTGCACATTATTTGAATCGGTTGTGGACAAAAAAGTGTGCAAAATACTGATAATAATGATACAAATGTGCAATACTCGAATATATATTAATTAAAAATCAAAATAGGATCATAAAGATGTCAAGGATGTAAAAAATTTGCAAATTTTTTCCAGCAATATATGATGAACTAGTGGTGAATTAAAATTCATAACTGGAGAAAAAAATGTTTAAATTATCGGCAAGAAATATTTAAATTCAATTTTACAATTTACAATCATTTTACAATCATTTTTTACAATTAGCAAGAGGACCAGCGTTTAATGATTCCTTCAAGTCGAGAAAATTGCAACTTTGTTGCATTGGTTGCATTGTTTGAGTATTTGGTGAAGGATGTGGAAGAAGGGATTGAAGTGCAATAGAGAAAAGTTCTTCAGATTTAAGATACCTTACTGAGGTATCTGAATCAATAGTAACAGCTTTAACAATTAGGTGTGGATAATTCTGTTCTTCCTTTGCCTAGATTTTGTATTCTTTGAGTCGGTTTTATTGATGGGCGCGACATGGGACGCTAACCCTTCACCTTGGTCAACAATGCTCTGGAAAGGATCGATTAGAGTGAGGGGTTTAGCTTTTTCGCCTTCGAAGTCATAAATTTTTGACAAATAGAATAATCAGCGTTTAAAGTTATTCTCAGAGTGCTCTTTTATACCCAGATCTTCGATTAGTTTTAAGAGGTTAGTAAATTTTTCTTTTTTCTTGGTCTGCGATCTTTTTAATTACGCTTTTTAGTTTTTCATTTTTACAACCAGAATATGCAATAAAAAGAACAATAAGTAAATAAGAGAAAAACAAAAATTAATAAAGGAAAATGTAAAAAATTTGATAAAAAAATGTGACGAATAAATGAAATAAATAAATAAAATCAAGATGCAAGGTTGTCCCAGGAAACTATGGACTTGTTCTTGTTCGATTCGGATTGAATGATTGGTCATTAATAAGCAAGAATAGGTTTCAGCGTACTTTTGAAAGAGTGAAACGGTGGCGAAAATTGATCTGGGTTATTGATTCTCCAAAATAAGTATTTTTTTTTCATAAAATTAATGCCTTTTAGTCGGTTGTCGATTTCAAAATCCGAAAATACCACTGTGATTCTGGAGATTTGATGTATTACGTGAAAAATATAAAGGCAATAGGAATAATAGTGTCTCCTGCCGTGCAATTTTTTTTCATTTCATTGCTTCGCTTTGTACGGACAGCAGAATAATAAGTTTGGCGACACTTATTACTTGCTTACAGTTCTTTTATGCGATCATTTTTATTTTTTTTAGACTGATTTACACCTCTTCTTCAAAATGTTTATAGTTCTGGATGCGCTTGAGAAAATTTACGGAATTAATCAATTAGCTATATTTCTGTTTTCAGTGACGTTTCTGTCATTTCAAGGTCATTTTCCAGCGGTTTCATTTTAGGGTTGTCAGCTTTTCTTCACAGAAGTTTACTTGCTTAGCAGGTTTACTCGCTTTTTTTAATGATTTGTCCGTTATTGCATTACCCAAGTGATGAAGAATTTTGGTCTTCCTCCATCGCGTAGTAGTTTAAGGTGAAGATTGAATGGTTATGAAAAATAGGTCAAAATAAAAACAGAAAAGTAGGTCTTAGTCTAACTGAAAAAAATTAGAAAAATTTCGCTAGGGTTAGTCCAACAACAATGGTTTTTTAAATTGTGTAAACTTGAAAGTATAGGCGTTTGTTGATGAGTTTATCATTGTGGATCTCACATTTCTTTATTTCAATTTTTATTTAAGGAAAATGTGAACACAAAGTACATACAATAAAGTAATGAAGTACCGGAAAAAATTTATTACGTACTAGAAGAATTGGTTAGTTTGAATGAAATGATCGAAAGCTTTATTGTTAAATGCAAAATGCATGTAAAAATGCTTGGAAAAAATGATTTGTTATGAAATGATTAATGATGTTTGATTATATGCCTGTGATATGACCTAGGTAACAGTGAATTTAATTTTTATCACGCGATTTCTGGACCTTCATCTCTTCGTAGTTCATGCACGTTGTCGTATTTTCGTGCAGAGTCTGAATTGATGTCTCCTTGAATGATTTTGGATATTGGAGTATTCTCGTAACGCCACGCACGGTACTTAATCACTGTTTCAATTCCAAATAGAATCGTTAATGCAGCGCATATAATCTGAATTTTAGATTTTTCATGGTATAATATTTAGTGATATCAATGCAATTTGAATAAATAAAACTGAATTTTTCCTACCGAATCTATAATAGCTGAACCTCGCCCATATATATTCCAACTAACAGAGAGGTGTAGCATAAGCCAAATAGCTATGAAGAATAGCATTGTATTAATTAAGTAATATATTAATTCCTGAAACAGTAAAAAATTAGTTCATCTGGTAAGCTAAAATAAGAATACTTTGCAAAAATTAAGAAATTTATAAGATGATGACTTACGACAACAATAAGTCCTTCACGTGTTTGTTCGTCTTTAATCGTCAAATGTGGAAAGCATACATAGCCAAGTAATAATGCACTAATGATTATTGTTGCTTGAAAGGATATATGCTCAGTCCATGCAGCTGTTGTGACTTTACGGTCGGAACAAATTGCCAAAATAAATGAAATGAATGCCAGAGCCTAAATTTTTTCTTTGCATCTTTAGTAAACTTTCAGCTTTTAAAATGTTATGATTTATAATGAAACGATTCTTTTCGAAATAAAGGCTGCTTTATAATATTGTTTCTTTAAAATAGCTGTTTTATAGGTGAAATAAACAAAGAAAAAATGATTTAAAGAAAAAAATAGTTAATAGTAATAATAAATAGTTAATTTTTCGACTGATTTCTTTAATTTCTCTACAAAACTTTTTTCTTTAAAATTTTTTATTTGATGGTTAGAAAACGTACAATTTCGGCGATTTTTAACACACCAGGCACGGTTGCGAGAAATGTAGTATTCAGTTGTCCCTGACGATTGTGCGGTATTATTTGAATTTTATTTGCCATATTGAAATACATTTTTTTACCTTGTTGTGGATAAGTTGGACTGAAAGAATATAAAAAAAGGAGAATGATCATACATATTTATTCCTAAATTTTACCTTATTTTGCATTTGTTAGGTAATTTAATTTTATTCTGTATAATTTATTTTTAAATTTCTTTATTGGACGAATTTTTCATTATTATTATTGAAAAATTCAGGCTGGTCCATTTCTCTAACTTACTTTGATATATCATGGAGCAATTGTCGATCAAAGATGATGATAAGTAAGAAGTACTTGCCTTGATGGTTGAGGTCTTTGTGGATTTCCTTGATTGTTCGTTGTATCTATGACCACATCACGGCCATTATCATTGTCCTCTGCTCGTAGCATCTAAGTGAACTGTCAATTTTAGCGGAGAAAGTTCTCAATTTTATTCGTGAAATTGTTGATAATGTAAATCGATTGACGATTCGATCTGGGATCTGGGACTAGGGTTGTGGAATTATAGATGTTACCAACTAAATTCCATGTTAAGCGCAAAAAGAAAAAGATCGGAAAGAGGTGGCTCTAAAAATTATCAAAGCATGATAAAGGCAATTGGAGAGAGAAGCGAAATTTGGATTTTAGTAACCCAATAATAGCATCGCTATGACCGGTTTCGCTAGAATTCATGGCTCATAGATTCCTGCGTTTTAGTTATTTACTCATCTAACTTAACTTTCAAAGAAAATAATAACAATTCCATAATAACAATTTTTTATTAATGCAGAAGAAAAATGTGGTTAGTTTTAAAATTTGGCTAAAGAAGAAATTTATGATTAGTAAGGGATATTTTAAGCTATTTTGTAAGGCACAGGGAAAAAATAGTCGGCATGCGACAATTGAGAAAGCATAAAAACTAGTTCTTTTCACTGTATCATCATATTATGAAACGTTGATTTAGTACGTGTGCACACTGGTGATTCAGTAATTCAGGTTTGTACCTCATTTTAATTGATTAGATTTATGAATCGATCTCTTCATCGAATCACGATAACGATAGGCATTACTGTTGTAAACTGTTAGAAAATCGTGCTTATTTTTGTTGTATTAATAGTTTATTCTGGAAGAGGTCATTTCGTTTTAGAAGAAACGGTTTAAAAGTAATATAGAGAACAGTAAGGATGCATAAAGGTTCATAAACAATGGTTGATAAATAAAGTAAGGCGAAAAAATTAAAAGAATATGAAATGGAATATAACTTACCTAAATGTGGAAAATGAAAGGAAGGATAGTAAGTAAGGGTATTAACCCTTAAGAGAAAGATTTGCTGAAGTACTCAGTAGAATTGATCGATTCAGTTGGGGCAGGATGATCGAATGGTTCGCCCCTACGATTAAAATAAAGCCATCATTCGATTTCTAACCTTTGAAAACTTAATTTTCTTTAGAAATTTTTGTAAATTGGGATTTATAACCCGAGGGAGAATATTTTATTTAAAATTCCTTAAGAAAAGGTAAAGTAAACCTGTTACTGAAAGTGAAATCCGGATAGCGTTGACCCCACACATATTCTGCCCTCAAGTGAATCTCCGACGAAGGAATCTCAACCTAATAACCAGCGGTACTAATCAAACCAGATATATTGAATGATGTCAAAAGGAGAAGATGCAGTCGTTTATTACTTTGGTATCTGGTTAGATCATTATCACTTTCTTGAAATCGCTATTTATTTTAGGACCATATTTAAAAAATAGATTATGTTCATTCGAAATTGAAAGATTGAGTAATAAACGGTAAGTGGTAATATATATGTAGAAGACTGCATGAATTCAGTAAAAAAATTGAGACCAACAAATAAAAAGTAGCTTAAAAAATAAACAGGCAGATTGACGATGGCGCACAGGAATATTAAGAGAGCGAGAAAAAATTCGAAGCATCGCTTTTGATGAATTTGCTGGTTGGCCAAATTTGGCCTTGAACTTTTCATATGTCATCTATCCATCGTTAAATGTGTTCCTACGTTACTATTTTTTTAACCAATTTGCAAGGTAATTTAATTTGTTAAAAGGCTATCGTCCTTCTCGACTTGCACTAATTTTTTTTGTCATGTATTATCGGAAATTGTTGATTAGATGAACAAAAGGTTACGATTTACAAGTGATTTAAAAAAAACTTAGGTGAAAATTAAAATATGCAAAACTCACTTCGTATTCTTTCGTCTATTTTTCCAATTTACCTTGTGTGATTTTAGGATAGAAGATGAGAAATAAGTTTTATACATTCAAAAAAGTATGCATTAAACGGCATAACTGGATAACATTCACGAAAACTAGTAATTATTCAGTTCACAAATTTTTTGATTACGATTTTTGACTAAATGGTCGGTATAGATTTTTTGCAAATTAATTATTAATTATTATTATTAATTATAACTAATTATTCAGATGACTTTTCTAAGGAATTAATAGTGGTTAGTAGTGAAAATTATTGTAGTTATATCATATTATTTATGTCGAAATAGCCATTTTGAAGTAAATTTCCAGAAAAATTTAGATTTTTGAGAACTGTATTCATCTGGGATTTATTTTACCTAATATTCAATTTTGGGAAGACCCATTGTTAAAAAGCTGGTGAATAAAATATGTATGAAATAAGTTGTAGAAAAAATAAAGGTGCTGCAAAGGATTAGTTTCTGGAACTGTATTAGGATTAGTTTCTGGAACTGTATTGTAATCTGAAAATGGAAAACAGAGATTGGCATATGAAATTCAAATATTTTTAGAGAATTAGCATACTTTAAAGAATTATTGCGGTCTTTGGAGTTTGCCATGTATTTCAAGATTACTAGTTGTTTAATTAGGAGATAGCAAAAGTAACAAAAATGGACAATAAAATTTTTCATAATGTCATAATTTTAAGCACTATCCTTTTTCAAAATGGCTTTTAACTGATATTTTCTATATAGTACTTAAGAGAAAAGGGTCTTCTATGAACTTTGATAAGCAGATAACTTTGATAAATTTATAACTTTGTTGGAGTGTTCTGAGAATTAGGCCTAGAAATGGCTTAGTGGGCTATTGTTCTCACTATTTTCAAAGCGCCAATGCTCTGCGTTTTACTCTCGATAGGAGTAGATCTGCTCTTTCATTTGCATTTCTATCGCCAAATAATTTCCTGGCAGAAGTATCTGATCCGATAAGCCAGATAAGCGATTGCAACCAGAAATGGTGAAATTGCTTTTAGAAAAGAAAAAAATTGCCAAAGTTATAGGATAAAAAAGTATGGAGAATTAATGTCATCAATGTTGAGAAGTTTCAAAAAAATTAAAATTAAAAAATTTCCTAAGTTTTGAAAAAGTAAAAAAGACTGAAAAGGTAACAGGGCAAGTAAAAGTAGTGCAAAGAATTGGAACGATAGGAACGATGTCAGCAGATACACTGAGCACGATTTGGAAAAGGCGTTGGAAAGTTTCCGGTTATGTGTGTGTCGAGAAAAGACGGCGACAATGCAATTCTTGTTTTTCTATTTCGGTATGATTCTCATTCATAAAATCAACATCGATATTTATAGATCGATGGAAATTCAACAATTTATAAATTCGATCGCGAATAGTTCTCGAGGTCATTCGTTTTGTTTCTTCGTTCAATTAAACTATGGCTAAACACTTTCATTTAGTCGCATAAATTAACTGTTTTCAAATTTTGTCAGATTTCGACTGATAATTTTAGACTATAAGTAATTGGCTATAAATGACCGTGGTTTGATGATCATATTTGAACCTTTTTTAGCAAATGTATAAGTTTTTCATTTCCATAAAATCAGATTTTTTTAGTGGTGTCGTATGTGTAATATATGTGAAAAATATTTTTAAAAATATTGAAAAAATTGGATTAAATTCTGCATAACCCTTCCTTTCGTGAAGGAAATATTAATCATGGAATCATTTTTTTTGATATTGCTGGAGGTGAAAACAAAATTGATTTGTTTTTAACACGCTTATGCTTTTCAGCATAAGTGAAAACTGGATAGAGACGAAAAAAATTATATGTAAAACGATTTATTAAAGAGTTTTAGATTTTCGCAATTAATTTGATCGAACGATTGCTTATGCTTTAATGGAATTTCGACCTCTGCAGAGGGTTCAAGATGAATAGAATATCATTTATACATGATTAAGAATGTAAATTAAAAGGGAATACCTGCTGGCGTTCCTCAGAACAGCCTATATTTTGATTTCGGTCGAATACGTTTTCTGTAATCATTCGATTCCGATATTTACTCTTCTCGTCTTCTGGGTTTTTAAAAAACCTTCAAACAAACTTTTATGATTTGCTAAAATTCATATTTATTTGAGATGAAAAATATTAGTGCAGGACCAACTCAATATCAATAATTCGTAATTCGTTTCTAGACGATCAGCATTTTTATTTTCTAAAAATTTTTTTGATAATATTAAAACAAAAAAATATAAATTACTGAAAAAAGTTACTGTTTTGGAGAAATTGTTGCACGGTTACACAATGACGATCGTGAAAACACTGGTGTTGTAAAAATGTAGTGGTTTGGAGTTCGCTAAAATTGCTCTTTTTTAAAAAAAAGGATGGATTAACGGTAAAATAAGCATGTTTATGATGTGTTATATTATTTAAAGGTAAAAAAAACTGTTCGGCACAAAAATGAATGATTGAATTCGTGTTGAGATGTGAATGCAGTACGTCCCGGTGTTTTTTCGAAAAGGAATTCATCTTCCTTTTTAAAAAGAAAATTATTTCATTTTCTTTGATTTTGTTTTTTCATCTATCGGATATCTCGTTTTGTTTTTTTTTTTTCAAAGTTGTACTTTTTGCAGTTTTCACTTTATTTGAAAAAATTCGTCCCAAATTGATAAATATTTGTTATTGGATTATTTATGGGAATTTTTCGCATTATTAAATCGAATTCTTAGAATTCTGCATTTTAAATGAATGCTGTAACGGACTTGTTCTAAGTGTTTGCCTTTCATCTGGAAAATAGGACAAAAATTAAATGAATTCAACATTTTTCTATTGTTCATGTTTCTACGAAGTCTTTCATAGCTGCTGAGTTGGTTATCCAGCTTACACCCAATCTCGACTGTGTTCGACGATATTTCTATAAGATATTTTTTGACTAAAGAAACTTTTATTAGTGATCTCATGATTCAATGGAAAAATGGAATCTTGAGTGAATTTTTTTCAGTTCTAACCCCTCAAGATTGTGTTGCTAGACTTTCAGTAAAAAAACAAATGAGCAAAGATTGTATGATTTCGTCAATTTGGAAATGGAAAAATGATTCTTATAGAAATTTAGCCATATGCACGAAATTATTTCAGCAGGAAGCCGAACAGAATGGGAACATATTGGAGATGCAGCTATTACAACAACAGATCGATGCATTGGACGGTAGGGCCGCTGAATTGGTTTGCTTTCATTTCTTTTTTTTAGCTCATGCGAGAGAAATGTTGAATTCATGAATTTGTTTTGAACGACCATTATTTTAAAATCAGATTTTATATCATATGAATTTTTAGTTTGATAGATGTATTATTTGTTTGACAATCTGTTATTTATTGTCAACCGAAAGTATTTTTTACTAAAATGTAAATTTCATATTACTATTTCTGATCATTGTATCATTTTACAGGAACGTCGTCGAACACAGTCGACACGGGGTATAAGTTGGATAAACCAGCGCAACAGGCAAGCTATGAAGGATGCAGTATTCAGTGGTCAGCTGCACATCGAAGCTTCTTCAGAATATGATCCATTTACGAGGAAAAATGCACGAACGAAGGTTAAAATTCATCCAAAAAGGTGGAATTGAGTTAAACAACCAATTCCATCTTTTTTACTAACAAATCGCATTTATATTTGAAATTCATGAAATACATTGGGGTAAGTGGTAATCGATATATCTTCTAAAAATATTGAATTTTCATCCAGTTTTACAGAAACGGATATTCCATGTTATATATGGGTATAAATATTCAATAATGTATTAAATATATTAAATAAAAAAGTTAACATATTTTAACAAATCTTGTCCGTCAGTCATAATCCTGTATCGTTATCAAATATTGGTTATTTTTAGCCCGTGTTTGGAAAGGATAAACGATCGGATGACACGGCATCGGGGGGAGTTATTGAAGGTAAATAAATTTTGGCATTTCAGAGCTGTTTCATTGACTGTTAGTAAGTTGAGACAATTCGGGTAACATGGAGGTAGAAGTGTAAGTGATTCTACATTCGTAGAAAGTCTAGTCGTCTAGAAGAGGCTAAACCACAATGTTAATCATAACCTACGCAACAACCACTCGGTTATTTTGAAGTTTTACAAAAGTAGCACAAATTTTTATAATCATCTGCGATTTTTTTAATAGTTTCTACAGTTTGGTTGCAGTAAATACTAATTACAAAAATGCATCTTTTTTCTCCAAAACAATTGAAAAAACGGGCAACATTGGGTCGAAGCGAACTGTTGACGATTTATTTTCGGCACATGATTTTGAAGTTGACGTTGATATTGTTCTTCCTCGTATGTTTTTTTTTATCGATGTGAATTTATATGAATTTATTTTTTTCCACCGATTTAGGTGGATTTTTTTGAAAATTGAACAATCATTAAATTAATGCTGGAAATCTTTCTAAATTCGTTGTAGAATTAAGATTAAAATAAAAAAGTTAAGGTTCGATATCATGGATTTTGCGGCCGAAAATGCTGCGATTATATTAAATTTATTTGTTATTCCTAATTAATTTTTTATTTTCTTTCTTTATTTAAACTTGGTCGATATTAAAGGAATGTATATCGTTAAAATAGGGGAAGAAAGAAGTACACTTAATGGAATTGTTCTCAAAAGTGCAATTAGTGTACAAAATTTTATATTTTTATATTTTATATTTTATAATTTTATATTTTTTGTACTGTTGTATATTTGAGTTCGATCTTAAATTGTCATCCCATTCAAAGGAATTGTTAAAAAAATATATTATAATAGCTTTATCATTTTTTTGTCAGTGTTTTTATTGTCAGTATTACCAGAACTTTTGTCAATATTTAGCGACAGTGGCATCGCTGGGAACACATTCGTTAAATTCCGTGGATACGTTATCTCACAAATCACCTGCATCATCGACAGATTCAGTCAATCGACCACGGCCATTAACCTTAGAAGAATATAGGCTACGAAAAGCTCAAATGTAGTTGCAGGAAAGATTCGTTGTAGCTATTAATATTTTGCATTTATAGTTTTATTTTGTATTTTATAGCAAAACTTTGCTATTGTTTTTTAGGTTGTTTCTGTTTATAGAATTCTTTTTTGTGTTTCTCTAACGTGTACCAAGTTTATCCGAACCGTTCTGTCAAAAATTAGTGGTTCATCTTTATTTTTTATTTTTTTCTTTTTGTTTTATCTTCCACAACCTGAATATTTTTCCTTATTTCATTGTACAGATTCATTTACTTGAATTTAACTTTACATTATTTTAATTTTTGTTGCATTATCGGTTTTACTTTACTTAGTAATTACAGATTAATTGTCATCTCCAGTTTATAAACTTGTTGGCTTGAATTTTTGTGTCAGGCAAATTCTAGATATTAAAAAATTAAATGTGTGCATGTAGAATAGAGCGCAATGTAGAGTGTGGTGTTGCGTCAGGATCAGAATTCGACATGATGAATTGAATGGATTCTTAAAGGGCCTTAGATGTTCTTGAATTCTTGTGCCTAAAGGTCTACTAATTTCTCCCACATGTATGCTTTCATAACCACATGTAATTTCGTAAATGCGGTCTCCTATTTGGTTACGACGTCGTCCTGCTAGTAGTGGACATATAATGCAAGTTGTGTTTCGTTGTTTTGAATTGTACCTCACTTAATCAAAATATATTTCAGGTTGGCATTTGGAACTTATATCAATACAGTCTTGCAGTCGTGGCTGGACTCAAGCGTTTTAAAAAGCTATGTTATGAGACCATTTCCTATATATTCACGGAACGGATTAAAAGATTATACAATCTTGTGCAAAATTCATCGTTGGATAGTTCAACCTCACAGATGGATAAGGGCAGTCACCCATCCTTCTTGGGCGGTAGCCTCATTACATGAACAATAAAAACTTTGAGAATAAAATTGGAGTATTATCTGTCACGCCTTTATGAGAAATCAAAAACTGCATATTGTTTAGTTTAGTTACTTACGAAACCTAAACTATTTAAGAAATTTTACAATATGCAACTGCAAAATCTTAAGATAGAAAAATAATATATAATAATATTATTATTAATTTTTTTACCATGGTCCAACCAAATCAGCCAGCATTTACCGATGGGATAACAATATAAGGCGGTGTTAAAATAGTTCGGAAAGATATATTTTGCAGATGGATCCATTATTTATCCCATCGGCTTAATGCAAAAATTCATTGGTTGTCGAAATATTTCCACACAATAAATTAAGTCTTAGTGGAAGTTAGAAATGGGTAGATCAATACAAGGGCTGACAAATCCCCAACGAGTCAACAAATATATGAACATCATCTTCGAGCAGCTATTCAGGCGCCAAAAATTCTGCTAGCTTCTTATAATGACTCTGTAGAAACTCAAGTAAATAACTCTTACTTCAAAATTTCAAAACCTCTTAACCTCTTAACGAGTAATGGGAAGTTTCATATGTGACGAGTTATGAAAATAGGTTTAACGAGTCTAATAAATCTCATTAACATCGGGTAGATCCGTTTGCGATTTTTCTCTGATAAAGATAGCGAATTCGTCGTAATACAACCATTAGGGTATCAGTGTCTATGAAAAATTTACGGTTTATTTATTTTATTTATTTATATCTATTCATTTATAAAGCGATCCTTAAGTAAACTTGGCAATCTATTTGTTTCTCAGAAGTTTTCTTACATAATCTTCCGAGCAAAATAGAGCCAACACGAAGGAACCCTACGGCGATGATTACTTTATAAGAACAAAAAAACAAAATTTGTAATGGAAATTTGATCACCAACATGGAGAACTTTCTTATAAGACCGATAATCAACATTTGTGGTGAGTTTCGCGATAGTATAAATTGGTTTTTAAATATTCTTGCATCTCCCAAAGTTATTAAGAACACTCATTTCCTACGATATTGTTTAATTAAGTGTAGGTAACCTATAAAAGTTTTTGACATGGTGACGAAAGTGGATGATGATATACAATATAATGGTATTCAATGATGATATACAACTATACAATGGAACTGTCATCTATACATGTGGATCAAATCCAGTTGGGTTGGACTTTGCCTGGAAGAGATACATACTCAGCTAAAAAAGACTAAAATTTCTCTGACTCTGACTCTGAAGACTAAAATTTTCTGTTGATCGAGACGGTACCATAAACTAAAGGGAGCATGATATTTTTCTACTGGACACGGCAGAAATAGATAATTATTTTAAGGAATTAAATTCAAATCCTGCACAAAATTTAGCTCGAAAAGATATTTGCATAACGAGAGCAAAACCGAAGAACAATAGGTAGTTACCTTTCCTTAGTGAAATTAAACTATCCAGTAAATTTTGCACAAGGTGATATGAGAAATCATCATCCAAAACTATTATCATCCACTATTTTTCAGTCCGTTCCGCGAATATATAAGAAATGGTCTAATATAATATGTAGTTTTTTTTTTATTTATCTACGTCTAGTTTATTTAACCGCATATTTGTGAAGAATTTACGGTAAAAATAAGTCGAGTAGCCATGGCTGCAAGATTGTGTGAGCAATTACAAATGCCAATTTGAAATTCATTTTAACTAGGTCCTAATTCGTGAGAACACAACATTTATATGTCCCCTAATAGATGAGGTCATTGTCAAATACGAGGCCGCTTTTGCGGTATATTAATATAAGGAACTGGTAGACATAAGAATTTGAGAAGGTCCTTTAAGACTCCATTCAGTTTGTCAAACTGGAATACGCCCCGTCGAAACTCAAGTCTGGAATAAAAGAAAGAAATTTTCCGAATTCTTCATCATTAATTGACGACGTAACAAAGCCTGAATTGACCTCTGAATGGTGTAGTAAATAAATCAACACAATAAATTTGCCAATATTGCTCCTTTCTTCTGAATTTTTGATTAGATTAAATATTGGAAAGTTAGACTAATTGGCCCGTTTCCATATTTTTCAAAATTTTTTAATATAATATTTTATTATTCATTGCGATGTTATTCATAGTTTACTTGTTAATATTTTCAATTTTATTTGCCAACATCGTTCTTAAACTAATTTTGATTAGAAGCTTTTGATAAAGAAGCAAAACATTCGGCATTAATCAAATCGGTTTTGCGTTGTTTTGCCTTTATCAATCAACAAATATTCATTTGAAATCGTTTAATTTTCCTGTGCGCATGAACCCCAAACGTCGCTGATGAAGGAAGTAGTGTCCGGCTGAACATGCAATTTTTAACTGCAAGCATTCTATATTTTTATAAATTTTTCATGATTTCATTGTGTATATTCGTATATGAAACATTTCGCATTTTCGTTTCATTTTCGAAAAAAAAGTTTTGTACATTCTTTATAATCCACAAATTATAGTTTTAATATATTCTGAACACATTTAATAATTAATTAACTCTAATATTTTATTTTTGAAAAAGAACAGTCACAATTAACAAGAAAACCGAATTATAACAAAAAACAATAATATTTAAAAGGTGAACTGTGGTTTGTACTTAGACCTAAAACAAAGAAAATTTGGTGCGAAAAGTGGATTATACCAGTGTATCTGCCTTTGATTCTAAACAATCGGTGTAAATTTGGATAAATCGAGTTTTTTCTGCGATTTGCTCGATTCGAATTCGCTTTATTTTATTTTTTCGCATCACTATCAATGAAAGGATGAACGAAACGGTTGAAATGATGAAAATAATTATAATTGTAAAGAAATAACGGTTTAAATTTGTGCCATAATTCTGAAGCGAAATGCTTGTTTTTCTTGCATTCAGATGTATGCGATTAATCCAATATCGTAACGTATAGATAAAACCTGTAATTTTTTGTTTATGAATGCGAAATTATGATAAAATTTTAGACATAAATTTTTGACTTATAAATTTTAGACTTATTTAGCATTAATCATTCAGTTAAAAGTTATAGATCCAATATTATGGATCCAATTAAAAGTTGTAACCTCAGAGAGATTCTTGATTTTAAGTTTTACGTCTATAGAATTGGAACGCATTAGAACACTGTAATGAGTGTAATTCACCAAATTGAAGGAAGAAACTTAAGGAAAAAAATACTTTTTTGTGGTCATGTAAGACCCGCGAGACTTTGGTGGTTTATTTTACTAAATAGCTTATTTGACTAGAAAATAGCTCATTTAATAGCTAAAAGCATAGAAAGAAATTTCACTTTTTTCTCTTCTTTTTCTCTTAGTGCTTCTGAAGCAAATATATCATAGCTATTTTGTTTTAAAGCTGGATAAAAAAGTTAAATCACCTTTTGGTTCATCACTTCCTTCACCAGATAATTCATTGTATATAAGATAGGCAGCTTTTCGACAGTCAGAATCACTATTATTGTCTTCATTGATATGATCGATCAGGCAAGAAGCGAATGCCTTGTGGCAAAATTTGGGATTGTTGGATAGATTACGATGGCACATCGTATGCTGCTCGCAGCATTTTGTAAATTCATCTGCAACATAGGATATAGGATATAGGTTTTTTTGGTGTAATTTCGTAAAAGAGCATCGTTAAAACGAAGAGTTCATTAATTCCTTTTTCTTTCTAAGAGCAATCACCATTTCCAGTTGAACTCATACGGATAAATTGTTCGACAAATTCTGTGAGACAGTGGAGATACTGGGAAGTTTCCAGAACTTCTGGAATTTCTGAAAGGTAGGTGTGCTCACATCGGTGTAAAACTCAGTATCTCGAAAGCACAGCAACAATCTGCTGATCTATTCTCAAACTTCGCATATTAATGAAATATGAATGCCGCCAGCAAATAATAACTTAAAATTACTTTTTTGATCACGACAGGTATTTGAGGCCATCTTATAATGCTCATGAACCTCTTCATCATCGATTACGCACACTGTGGGCGCATTCGTTGTAGTTGTATCCTTTTTTGTAACTGTGGACGTTTTCACTACAACTTTGCTTATAAACATTTGAATCATTCTAAACAGTTCGTTCTGTAAGCCCAGATTTCGAAACAGCTTTTTAAATTTATTAGAATTTCAATAACCGTTAAAATAGAATAAAAATAATGGGTAGTAAAATAAAGCTTTCCTTATAAATTATATTCTAAGAAAAAGCTTTCGACATATTTACGAAATATTTATTTCCTTACTTGTTCGGTTCTGAGAAGCTGATGCGACATATGCATGGTCGCCAAACACCTGCACCGCAAAGCATGCCCACCAAGCATTCATTTTACAGTCGTCATAGTGTTTTGCCTGTATGGATGAATATTTCATTCACAAAATTGAATAACGACAAGATAGCATAATAGCTTTATCGCATTTCGATAAATTTTTTGTCATTATTTTTAAAAGTCTTTTGGAAATTAAGATTCAAAACCTTCATAGCAATGATATCTAAACACTGGCAGAAGTGGTTATCACAATTAATTTTTCCAAGTTGATCAGCATAGCATTGATCGTGCACCCAACAGCATTCATTAAATTGGTCTGCAGTAGGCAACTATTTATAATAAATCTTTTATTAAATCGAGAATAATTAACCAATCTTAAGAAATATAATTTGGATCAGGTTAATTTGCTTCAACCATAGCCGAGTATTATGAGTCTGATCCGTATCGCCTTGCGCGAGCAAATCTTGTCATTAAAACTGGAATAGCAAGAGATGCAGCAATATGTTAAGAAAATTTTATTTAAAGAAGAAATTTAAATGGGAACTCATTTCAGTTGTATATCCGATTGAAATTCGATTGGTGATAGTGACCTTTGTGCAATTTTATCACAACATGGCTCAATAGAGATAGTAATCAGTGCAGCAAGCTAAATCGTGGTGAAGTGGCGAGTATTGTCAGAGAAGAAAAAAGTATGTTAAAATGTTCATTTGATAAATTCCAAAAAAACTTCGGAATGATAAATTTGGACAATATAATGAGTTAAGCAGTTGAAAGTATCCAATTTTATCATCTTGAGTACTGCTAAGGGATATTTTCTGTCATAACTCTCATTTAGATGAGAACAAATTCCAGCAAATGTCATTTTTTTTCAAAGGTAAAAATAAATTTTTAAACCATTATCCATTATCTAGACTATAAATCTTCAAAAAATGTTGTGATTGGTGGAGTAATAATCACAGATTTGTTAAAAAAGGATTTGAGGGAGGTTCTAAAGAATCATTATTTCTCGTGATATTCAATATACAATGCAAGATGAATCTATAAATATTCGTCAGATAAGCGGGGACTGTGGGATTGATTTCTAGCCAGCCGAACTTATTCAATGTTTACAGGATTTACTTAACACTAAATTATCTTCTAGTAGAATAAAATTTAGTTACTTGTTACAATGGGTCTATGACTGGAATAACAAGAGTTGCAGCAATATATTAAGCTGGAGAAAATTTTATTAGGGTGGAGAAGAAATTTAAATGGAAGCTTATTTCCGTTGTATGTGAATGCTTGATCCAATTGCTTCTTGTAATTTTTAACCCAGGTATTTTAGAACTTTACAAGACTATTACTTTATGAGCTTCAGAATATTGTAAATTTATATTTCCACAAGAGTAAAAGCAACATAAGACGGAAATTATTAGAAATCATATAGGCCTTTTATGATTTTATGATTTTTTAGTACTTTTTAATGAGAAAATCGCAAATTTAATGAAAAGATTCAAAGTTTATGGATTAAAATTTTGCATGAAATTCCACCATTCCACGTATTTTACTTTTCTCTGAATTAAAAATTGATAAGGAAATGCAGAAAGGAAAGAAAAAAAAGAGAAACAGAAATGAGAAAAGAAAAAAATAGCAATGCCTTCCCAGTGAAGTTATCGACGGAAGTATCAGCTTATGTTCACCTATTATTCGTATTTTCTTAAACATTTCTCTACATGTTTTTCGGAGGCAGCTGAGGAGAGCAGAGATTGAGACAGAGAGAAGGAATGAATTTGTTTTTTATAAGACCATATGAACCACTCACCAAGAACGTCAGGACATTCTTCTGCTATTGTTTTATACGAATGTCTCCTAGTTTCATCGTCAGAACCACAGTACCACTTTTGCCAATTTTCGAATGTTGCCAATTTGTGACTAATAGTAAATCCGATTGAGATCATTATTAAAAAATCCGTACAACGCTGAAATTGAGAACCATAAAACACACAAAATTAGTCATCCATGGATAAATTTTTTAAAGGACAGTTTGGTAAAAAATTATGGTCCACATATCTTAACCAAATTATTTCTAGAGCTAAAGAAAAAAATTGAAAAATGAAGTTTTTATCTATTTATTTATAAACAAGAAACTATGTGCACGTAGCCATGTACTTGGATAATAACCTACAATAGGAAAAATAACACGAGAGCGGAATTAAAATGTATGAAGCAGTTGACCACTAGATTTATGCACTCGTAAGTAAAAGAATCCGATATTACACAAAAATGAATGAACAAAAATTTAAACTGCTTTTAGATTAATTTAAATCAAATGTAAAATTCAAAAATATAAAAAGTCTCGATCATCTATTTTATTCATATTGATAATATTCCATTAATATTTTGAATTATGCATTAGAACTTGGTTTAGTCGTTAATGAGAATTTATATTTTGACCTGTGATTTTAGCAAATTTTGATGCAACCAGAAGAAATAAATTAAAAGTGCACAAATCTTTCTAATGAACTGAAATCTTTTTATTCATACTATTCATACTATACCATACTGGAATAAATTACGCAAGGATGTGGTTTTAGCACATTTCCATATTTAGTTCAAGGAAAAAGAAAGTTGAAGATAATATCTGAAAGCTTTTCGCTGCAATGCTTATTTTTGATGCTTGGTTATTAAGCGAAATTAAAAGAAATTGTGAACATTCCTCAGTCCTTTAAAATTACTTATTAAGGGAGTAAATATTAAGTTCATAGGTTGTTCATTCCAGTAAGCAATAGTGCGAAAAAGAAATTTCGAGTTGAACTTAAAGATAGGCTTTAGTGGTTTTAATTCATTTAACCATGTTATATTAGTACTGAAATTACAGATTACAGAATTTATTATGATCTGCTTTATCTTAATTTAATTTAGCTGCTAAGCGAAATTTTGCAAGCATTTTTGGCAATTTGCAGAATTTAGCAAAATGCAGCAAAATCCAATCCTTCTCGGCGAATTCCTCGAAGTTTTTGATCACATTGTTAATTCAAGGCGAATTCAAGGTGTAAAAAAGAACTATTGTAAAAAATTAAAGAAATAAAGGAAATTCACGTTTATGCAAATTTGCATTAAAATCTGTATAATACTTTCAACAACATGTTTTAGAGATGCAGTAATTTTTGCGAAGGAATTCTGTGTATACTTCCTGCAAAAAAAAGAACAAAATCAAAAAATTCTTCAGGACGAATATTGGAAATTAAGAAGGTCACAAAAACAATTAATTAATGATTGGTTAATTAATTAACTAATAATAGGGTTTAGCAAATTTGAAATTCTGTGAAAAATTTTATTACATAGGACTAAAAATTTCCCGTTTAATTCAGCAGTTTTTCTTAGAAAACGTCATATTATTTTGACAGTTCGATTAGACATGTAAATGCACGCTTGTCCACTGGTTGTTAGTGCGATGAGAAATTTTTGTAGAGGAGAGGAGGTAAGTAGATTATAAAATTTTCTACTGGAAAATAACCAGTGCTGTGGTATTTTTATTTCTTTTTCTTGATTTCTGCCATAACATTCATCTCGCACCAAAAAAATCCGTCAAAATTTGAATTTAATTGAGAAATGTGTCTTCTGTTTTTTCAAAAGTATAGCGTTTTACACATAAATTTGGAAGGATTCGATCTTTCTAATCTTTTTATTAATGGCAATATAATCAGATGAATGAGTCTCGCATTTTCAGATCTTGGCATAATCGTGGATGAAAATCTTGATTTCAACCTTCTCTACAGAACCATAGTAAAGAAATCCTCAAAGATACTAAATTTTATTTTTCGTTCGTTTAATAAAAAAAATGGTTTTCATACCAAAAAGCGTTCGTTCAGCCTCTTGAATGCAATAATACCTGTTACTCCCCGAGATACCGTAAATCAAGTAAAATAATTGGACTTCAGAAATATTTTATAAGTCGCCTCTCTCCTTATAACAATTTTAATCATACAACTACCACTACACAACCTAGATCCCTCTCAATCCGTCGAATTAAGATTTAATTTATATTTATAAAATTTTACATGGTTATTTCAAATTAAATTATTCCAAATATTACAATTTTAGGTTAAATTTGATCTCAATAAGATCTAATGGACTAAAACTGCTAAACCTATATGCAAAACTAAACTAAATTAAGGACTCATTAGTTCTTCATTCGTACTATTTATTACTGGAATAAACTACCAAACGATGTAGTTTGTGCGTTCATCCCCAGCTATTTTTAAAAAAAGATTGGACAATATCATTTATAATATTATTTAATAAGTTCATATACATTCAAGTTCATATATCATGCAGGAAGTCTGAATCTCCATTTTCACCATCGATTATGTATAAGCAATATTGTGTATAATAAGTAAAATTAGTAAAATTATTAGTAAATTAATTAAAATTAGTAAATTAGTAAATTAGTGATAAGTAAAATTAATTAATAATATAGTTACTTCGAACTATAATTTGTTAATTTTTGTCACTAATTTTCATTATTTTAACTATTATTTTAATTGTTGTTATTAGTGCAAGCATATGGCGTTTGTCGCCTTGCTTTTTTGATTTTCAATAAAAAATAAATAAATATAATAAAATTAAATTCAGTAGACTATTTTTCTGCACTAAATGAAGCGAAGAAAAATAATATGTCGTATTTTGCAGATCTAACCATCTTCCAAATATCGGATTTTCATAAACACACCTTATCTTAGATGAGATGACAAGATACAGCTAGGAAATTTTTTGCTAAATTTTGACTTCTCATTTCCGTTAATGGCTATTTATCACAAATATTTCAGTTTATGTTCTTCTATTTAATGAAAATGTTCTTGAACAAAATTCTTTATTTGAATAACAAGTATTTTAAAAGTTTTTAAGTAAATCAACACATTAAGTACTTTAATTTTGATTAACTATTTGTGTAGTTGCTCATCATCTACCACAGAAAACTAAGTGAAAAAAGAATGACTTCATTCTGATATTCGGGCCAGAAGGCTTGGAAATATTTCATCGTTATCAAATGGAGCCAGTCAAGCTGCTAATGGTGTGTTAAAGAATACCTTCATTACATCTCGTATGCCACTAAACGTTTTAATTAAAAAAATCATAAACAAACGAAGGGTTTGAGATTTATTTGGCATTATAAAATTATAAAATATTATTATATTATAAAATACTATTATAAAATATTTCATTTCATCCTTAAAAGTGTCAATTAATCTTAATCTGAAATTTCAGCATTTTTTAACTCATTTTTACTGTGATACTTTTCGATCTTCTATTGCAATTATTGCTACTTTTCGAGTGCCGAAGTATATGTGTTCAGCAGAAAAAAGCATTTTCACAAATTCCTCTAAATATATTTTCACAATTTCTAGTTTGCTCTGCTCTACGTATTAAATGAGACTCTTTTTGTCAGAAAATCACTTGGGAGGCAAAAATGTGGGTGGGTCTCTAACATTGCTCACAGCCAGTTTTTCAAGACAACTCCAATCCCATCAAAAATAAAAGATCTACGATGCCTACGATGTTTGGTCTAAACTGTATAAGCAAAATATCATTCGACCATACCATCACCAAAGCCCACTCCATTGATATAATAGATATAAGCAGTTAGAATTTATGAAATATTGGCATAACATACTATAAAAAAAATTAAAGTCATAGCGTTAAGTTCGATTGCTAAGCTGAAAATCAGTCCACAGAAAAAAGGTTTTGAAATATTTAAACAAAGAATTCAAAATCTTGAAAGTTCTAATCAAAATAAATGCTTAAAACAATAAAGAATTCGACTTTGGAGCCGTTTTATCTTTTGTGAATTATAAAAAACTTAATTTTTTTACGTATATAATTTTCTATAAATTTATTTTATAGCATTAGCCATATGTTCATTGAAAAAAAAAAAAAATTTTTTTTGAAGAAATTTTAATTTCTTCTGTTTAGAATAATATTGAAATAAGGAAAATGATATGATATTAGAAAAATCCAAAATTTAAATTATTAAAATTTCAACTTGAAAAAAGAAAACTACAGGAAGGAAGTGTGACTTACTGTAAACATCTGTGCCCAATATTTCAATTGTTCGAAGAAAAGCGTGGAGAAAAATTCAGTAACAGCACAGTAGTGAAATGGAGGATTGATCAAGCGACTACTGAACCAAATGCTGAATGGCTGAAAGATTTTTAAAACGCGAAGTCTGGAGAGTAGAATGGCTCAGTGGGGTCATTGGTCAATTCGAAGCGCTGATACTGAGTTCTACTCCCGCAGGAGTTTAAATCCAGTCCAAGATTTCAGGTGATGCTGGCGACTCCACTTCTATTTGCCAGAGGTTTTTCTGGCATATATAGTGCCAAGTCAGCGGAACGATTCTAACCAGTAATGGTAAGGACTCTTTAAAAAAACTGAGAAATAGAAAATGTGAAATGAACTGTTAATTATTAATAATGTAACAATTCTTTGCTAAGGTCAGACAGTTTAGCAAATGTTAATAACTTCTGGTGCCATTTCTGGTTTGATTCCATTAGCTTTTAGGAAGATTACCAGAAAGTGAGGTGAGGATAGAAGTATAAATTAGCCTAATTAGCTAAAATGGCTTGCAAAAAAGGTAGTAAAATGTAAATTGTACGCGATAACTACTGTTACTATGGAAAAAAGAAATTGACGTGAGAAGCGAAAATTAAACCATTAAAAAGAGCACGAGACGTCTGCGATTACGGAGAAAATCTTTGTTTCCTTAGTATCGAATGTCAGTTTCAAAGTAAACCAAGAAATAGATGTGAAAAGCAAAAATTATACCGTTAAAAAGAGCAAAAGGCGACTGCAACTAAGGGAAAAAATTTTTCTTTCCTCAATATTTGATATCAGAATATTTGAAGCAAAACACACCTAGTTCAGTTATAATGCGCCAATGTTGTCATGTTGAACAGGCACTTGCCTCTCTCTTTTTCTCTTCTGAATATTTCCTTCTCGGGACAAGGATTTAACTTAATCCTACCTTCCTGAATATTTCATTTTTGAAACATGGAGAACATGGATTTATGACTTCTCGGAAAGAGCTGGAAAAGAGGGCGAAAATATAAAATAATCTATGGGCAAATTTTTTTCCAGTTTTTATATTTTTATATTTTTTATCCTATATTGAACTAATTGACTATTCTTACCGATGGCAAAACATTCTTATATTTGAACTTTTCATAGCTGAAATAACCTGAAATAAGCCTTCAAAAGAAGAAAAACAGAATTTGTTCAAAGACTATAGTTTCCACATTTGATCTTTTCATATACCATTAACAGTTGCAGTACTATAATAATGCTAATACTTCAAGCAAATTTTATGATTTATGCATGAAAAAAACAAATGAAATTGGTTATCCATAAATGCAAAAGATAATTCCGTATGAATTATATATTTATCTAAATTATCAAATTTTTGTGATTATATAATGAAATCATTTGCATGGTAATTATGAAATTATTTGCATGAAATCAGCAACAAACAATGAGGCGCATGTAATTTATACGAAAGTAATAGCACGTTGCATTAAATTTTAACAAATATTGCCAGTAAAAATAACAACTAAGAAAAAAAGAATTCGCAAGAATTTGTTGAAAAATTCCTGAAGGTTAATCATTGAGAGGAAATTATTGTTTAAAATTCACGAAAAAATTCTAATAAGTGGAAATTATAATGGAACAAAAAAAGATGGTCGTTATTTCCTTTCACCATCGCCAAAAGGAAAGGTTCCTCATTTTTTTTTTAATGTCCCCACAAATCCCCACAAACCGAATCGATTTTCCTTCTCTTCATAACTTTTGCCTTCCCATGAAGTAACAAATGCACTTGCAAAGAGCCAATTTGGCTCAAACGAAGTTATTTTCACCAGTAATCAATAAGATTTGTAGCACTCATTCGATATTTTAATATTAAAAATCGGAAGAAAAAATAATTTCGAACGATTTTATTTCATTTTTTAATAGATGGCGATTTTTTTTGGCGATCAGCAGCACTTCTCACTTCGAGCGGTAAATGCTTTTCTTTTGCAATATATGAACCGAAATTTTCGTTCCAAATTCGCTTAAAAAAATTTCCTTATAAAGTTATCTAAAAGTTATTTTGAAAAATTGGAAGATGAAAGCCAGAATTAGGCTTATTACTCATCTAAAAGTTCTCTGAGATTTAGCTATGTGGCATATATTCGATTTATGTTCGTTAATTCGTTAATTGAAAGTCATTAAAATTAAAATTAGAGTGATGATGAGGACTAATTTGCACTTCTATCCCCTAAGTGGATCTTTAAAGAAAAAGTCCCATCGATGGAGCCAGTCGGACCAAAAATAGAAGAACTTAATCATAGATCAGATCACAATTTGGTTTTGGTAATTGTTAAAATAAACAGGCATTTTTAGCGATTGCATGGTGAAAGTGATAATATTCACCTTCGCTACAGCTGTAAAGGAACATCAGAATACTTATGGAAACGATAATCCTCTAAAAGTTAAATGTTTATTGAAAGCCATGCAGGAAGTTCGTAATTCTTGCTTGCTGGAAGTTCATAATTCTTAATCCAGAGTGACTGCACCTGGCTTGAATAAGAAATACTGCCTGTATTAGTGTTAACATCAGTGCTTATGCTCCTAAGCTGTGCAAAGATGAACTGGATAATCTTTATTCTATGTTTTTATTATGCTCTATGCAGAACTTAACTTGCTAACATGCTTCGTTAAAGATTTTTAATAAATAATCATGGTAGTGGAAGATTAGAATGCGTGCATGGGAAATCCCACTATGCTGTCCTACTATTCTTCTGTAGCGCGCAAAGATAGGTTTGGTTATGTGCCAATGGTTTCCTTTCGGCTTTACAAACATTTTGTCATCAATATATATTTTCAGCACCGCAGAAAACATTTGGTTACAGGGAATTCTGCAGACAATCGAACTAATCAAGCTGGATATTGGCTAAATTTTTATCAATCATCACTGCAACAGACAATAGCTTGTACTGCGGGGCCGAAAAATAAAAACTGTTGAGGGCAATCTCCATGGGTCTATATTATGTTCAGAGCCAAGATCTAGCTGAAGCTAACAAGTGCATATTAAATATTCTCCCCAGATCCTTTAGCTACTTCAAGTCGGAAGATTCAACAGCAGTTGGCAAATATTGAAGTAAAAGTTAACTGAGTTATCCTTTTAGGTTAAGAATCTACATGGCTATTCTTTGACACGTAGGATCTCTAAAATGGCTAATGATCTCTTTAGTATTGCTCTCTCCAGAAGCCATCTAAATCTTCTCTAGGATACACTACTGGGAAGAAGCTGGCTTTCATACGAAATGGCTTACCTCACTGTCAGAGCGTATATATTAGGAAATAATAGCTATTGGAAGTTCTACAAACTAGTAGATGGCTGCGGTGAGACAAGACAAAAATTGGTGCTGGAAGGATATGCCCTAAATATGAAGGTAGCATAGAATGGCTCAATGGATTGTTGCTTAATTCGAAGTACCGATGCTCTTCTACTCCCCGCAGGAATGAATCTGTCCAGAAATCCGGTGTTGCTGGTGACTTACCTGTATTTCTATCGCCAAGGGACTCCCTGGTATATTTGCTCAGTGCGATAAGCCAGCGGAGCGAGTCTAACCAGTAATGCTGAGGGCTCTTAAAAAAAATATAGAGATGGGAGCTAATAGGTGATCAACGAAAGTGCTTATGCTGTCTGCTTCGCAAAGCGACCGCAGCACAAAAAATCGTCCTTGAAATGATTCGAAATTAGGATAAAATCGTGGCTGACTGTCTCTCTCTCGATGGAAATAGATTTTTGAATTCAATTTGAATTAGCTATGAGCTAGCCAACATCTCGCACACGACTGGAACGAATTTTAAATGTTGGCCAGCATAAATTTCAACCAACTTTCATAGGTTATATTCACTGGTATAAAGCAAAAAAATCTCGATTCTGGATTCCCAACAAAGATGACAGGACACAGCTATCATCGAGCTTATTATTTCTTAAAAATTTCTTACTTCTCTTCAATTATATAGGTTTAAAATGAAAGTTGAACGCGCCCCAATCAAGCTGGACTTAAATTATGGAGTGATGCTGAGTAAATTTTCCCTCTTATATGGGCTTTACAACATCGCTTCAAGTACCGGTTTCATCAACTTTGTTGTCGCTTTTGATTCGATTGACATATTGGAGCCCTGGTAAATGCAAGGTGATGGTCCGGCGAAGATAATTAAACTTATTAAAGCATTCTGTATTGTACATTAGTGCAACTCTGTATGTGCATGAAACGCTTTGAAATACGAACCGTAAAGATTATTTCCCTGATAAATTTCAACTATAGATTGGTTTATGCTTCTCGCTGGCAGTTACGAGAATTTATCATTAGATCAGATATCCACAGTAGCAGCGAAAATTGGTTTTAAATCAATATGCAATACGAAATATCTTTTCATCTTATATATCAAATCCTGCTATGATCGCAAATACTGCAAATTCATCAACAGTCCAAAAAATTCCAAGCTCTAAATATCTAGAATCCGCTCTTATATCTTATATCTAATGGACAACTTAAAATAAAATCCTTGCTCAGCTCGCTGCAACAAGAAATGCTTTCAACCGAAGCTTCTTTGGAATCGCTATCATGCCTCAAAAATTGCCTCAAAACGAGATTCACATCTCTTTGGCTGTATGTAGTGAGCGTAATCCTGCTATATTTCGAAACATGGTTGGTGACGGGGAAAGATATAAGGATACATCCTATTTACTCGCCAAGCTGGCTATAGCTGCGTCCCACAACTGTATCCATCTTGGATACCATCTGCCTTAATATCGCCTGAGCTGGTTAGGCTATGTTCTTCATCGTCCATCATAGGAGCTGAAGCACATCTCGCTGTTTTCTAAGCTTTGTGATGGGTGGCATCAAAGGACAATCAATATCTTCAAAGATGGTTATGAGAGGTTTTGGACGTGTAGATGGTGGAATAGGGAGTGGCTTCAGTTACTTTCAGGTATGGTAGTCACGAGGTTTGGAAACACTTTACCCTATTCATCGAAAGAGTAGACCAAGTTAGCAATGGCGTGAGCTGTTAAGAAGAAGAAAGAGATTTGAATCTTAAAATTTAAAATTTTCAAATTTAAAAATTATATTCAAGAGATAGAAATAACGAACCTGTTGTTGCCAAAGCCAAATACTTATTGCCTCGATCTGATCCAAAGAGAAAATTGATTCATCGAATCTTGTTAACGGTAGTAACTTACTTCGGCTGAATGTTCGATGAACCATTGCAGCTATTTTGACGTGCATTTTATCATAAAGAATATGTGAGACTTTTTCGAAATCATCTTCGGAATAACCATCAGAAACTACTATTATTACCTTCAAGAAAAACTTTGAATCAAGAAATATTGATTGGCAAGGAAAATTGATTCTAATTATTAGAAATTCATCCCTAAAATTTTTCCAGTGAGTTCTATCTTTTTCTTCTTCTTCTAGCGCTTGTAGATTGGTTGGCTCTGTTAGAATGAGTTACACTTTCCACACCAAAGAGTCACTTGGAGAGGAGCCCATATAGATTACAAGCACCACTTTGATAAGCTCACCTTCATTAAGGAACAACAATTAAACCTATGATGGATGACTCGACCTTATTCAAAGCTAGTCGACTAACTTGTCCTTTAAGAATTATATTAAGAGTCTTTGCTGGAAACCATTATAATTTCATTGTTTGTAATTTAATTTAGCAGTTTTCAGCTGATTGTTAAAAACCCCAAACAAAGAAATCTAATTTTGATAAAGTCTTTTGCGAATTAGCGCTTCTTTCAGCGCGTTCTTAAGCTGACTATCGACTCCACTAAGTTATTGAATTTTAAGCTAAAACCTGAAGTCGATCATGTCGGGGAGTTGGTAAGAATTTGTGTTTCCTGTGCTTGCCATTTCTTAAATTCTGTTCATGATAAAGAAGACCAGACGCAAAAAGAAGTGCTTTAGCTAAATGAGTTGGTCCACCAAGATAAGGAAGTCGTTTTATGCTTGCTGCAAAAAAATAATCAAAAAAATTCTGAATGAATGCATCCAGCCTATGAAAACGACAGTCGGAATTCGTTATCAGAAAATAAATCAATCGTTTTAAATTGCATTTTGAAAAATTATTAAATAATTACCTATGATAGAACCATGAGTGTAGTATTTGTTAAATCCGAAGGATACAAGCGGTTCTTGCGCGAAAAGTATAACAGCAACTCGGCTTCTTCCAGCTGATATATCTACATTTTTCAACACAGCAATAATATATTTTTTGGTCTAAATTTTAAAAATTTCTACCGGATCTTCGCAAAAAAAATTCTGTAGCTGGGATCGAATTTAACTTACGTTTTCGAAATTTACGTTTCCAATGCTACTCGAAGCATCAATCAAAAACAGTAAATCAATAGGAGGCAAAGCTTTCGCAGGATGGCCTGGAGGAAGAAAACTCCTATCATATCGATGAAAATCTGCTTCTATTGTCACATCATCGCCATCCTCATCAGCAGCATTGTCCTCTCTTCGGTAGTTTGCAATATTTGGATCCTCTAATTGTTTATCTAAATATTTGGGAAATTTTACTATTTATTTTATCTTTCTGACTAAGAAGCTGTTGGGCAAATATCGTTAATGTTGAAAGTATGAATAATAAACAGATTATATTCAATAATGAAGACCAGGAAAATGAGCGCACCACTTTTTTAGAAAATTTAGAAAATTTCAAAACATAATAACCATAATACAGCTATAGGGAATTTATAAATTCATTATCAGTGGAAAATGATGTTGTTCGATCGAAACTTTTAATCATTGTTATTGTTTGAATATATAAATTTTGTGTGGTTACTTATACATTTCCTATAATTGATTATTTATTTAACATATTTGAAACGCCCAGATAAGTTTTAATGCACAGTTTATATCGCAGCTTGTTCCAAATTTGAACCTTGGAGAGAACCTTTGTTTAAGAGATTCCCTTTTACTCTGACGACATAATTTTTCAGTAAAATATTGAGCATTTACTATTAAAATTGGCAAAAGGTTGACTGAGAGCATGATTTATTACTTGAATCACTTTTTGACGAAAGCGGATCGAATCGGCTTATAGCAATTGATCCACTGCTAGTCACTGGCGCTATTGCATTCCTTTTTTGATCATAATGCTTTAGGATTGCATCATTTTCGCTGCCAGTGATATCTGTGTTTGTCCCATTAACTGTGAGATTTTGCGATGTAAATCCATCAGTTTCTCTTTGTTGGGCATTCTCCATTAAAGCAACTCGCATTTTTAGCTGATTATCTAAAATTAGCTATGGTGACAAAATAAAGGATGCATCAATTTTGATGCCCAACTATTTCTCGCAAAAATATTTGGCAATCAGTTGATAGAGGCGGACACTCAGGATTTTGCTTTTAGTGAAGCGTTTACTTCTATAAAGATAAAGGAATTAAACTTATGAAACTCAGTCAAAATAATACTGATCATAACTGCCAAATTAAGAGTGAAATTGCGAATTTAGGAAATATACGAAATGTATATACGTAAAACGGGGAAACGAAGTATATAAATTCATTTTCATTACAACAAATTTCAAAAATTTTTGGCGAATGGATTCAATGCAGTGCTTACTTTCATGCCAAAATTGGTAAAGAGCATAAAGCAAAAGAAGTGATAGTAGAAAGAGTAAAATTAAAACGATTATAGCGATCGCAAATCCAACATCACTCCCAAAAACCGATTTCGTTGCGTATGTGTCACCTGAATTTTGAACTATTTCAATAAATTAAAAATCATAGCTTGTAAAAATGGATTATCGAGCCAATTGCCGTCTTTTATTATCATTATTAGCTAAAATAAACGGCACATTGCAGAAATGATATTTTATTTCGCAATTTTCCCGAGATTTCTTATTTAAAACGTTGAAAAACAATACATCGCTTTTATCTTTTACAACAAATTTAATAGGGCAGAAAAATGAATGATAAACTATACTTAAAGTGGTACAAGCAAAAAGTCTTACAAACGACAGTATACGTTATAGTATTTGACTCATCTTTCTTGACGCATCTGGAAATATTCCAGTTCAAATAGTTCCACCAAGAAAGATCGGCAATATTAGTGTTGTGCATGAGGAAACAATTTTTTTAGACAACTGATCGATCCAGCCTTTTAATCCCCATGTTCGCCTTTAGTTTCCACGGTGATTTCCTATTAATCGACTCCCTTCTTGTGAAACCGCCATTTACTTTTCCACATCAATTATTTAATATTATCAAAATAAAATTGTCCAATAAGTTATTTATATAGAAATATTAAAGCAAGTGAGCATGGCAATTCAACTATTGTAACTATTATATGACCTTTGCAACTTTTTATCACCATTTCCTAAAGTTTTGTTGGCCAACCTCATATTTAAAGATTCTTCCTTGTATCATTGCTTTTTTCTTTCAAATCTTAAAAAAAAACAACGTACGAATGAAATCGTTTGCGCTTTGACAAATTGGTTTAATCAGCTTCGGAAGAGTTTCGTAACTGATCGCTGAGAAGGTGAGTGTAGTAGCTGCTGATGTAAATTTGTTAATCGTCGATAAAGGATCATCAAGGCTACCAATGGTGATCAAGAAAATATGAATAGGAGAAATTGGTGCAACTAAATTTTCTCGATTATTCTGAAAAGGTTAACATAAATTAATATTGGTATCCGTAAACAAATTTTTATTTATCTTCATTAAAATTTTTTTCAACTTTGATAGAATAAATAAGTTGATTGAAAACAATTTCATTCGTACGTTATTTTCCATTGGAACTTAAAAATTCTCACCACTTCATTTATATTATTTTTTTCTGATGAGATCACAATGACTGCATCAGGGATCCACTGTCTGTTTCCTGAAGCTGAATTAAGTCCCATTTTTACAATACTGTTCAAACTTGCTGGAGGTTGGCAATTTATCGAACTATTTTGTGCCCTGCACGGAACATATGGTGTGCTCTGAATAATTAGCGCATTTAATGAATTGAACCTTTATTTTTTTTTAAAAAAAAACTCATGATATAATAAAAGAACGCCATAAAAATTTGCTGAATCTTTGATTAACCAGAAAAACCTGAGAACTTATTTCTATAAAAAAAAAATTACCATAATCCGCCTTTCAATTTCACTTTGTGATGTTCCCGAAATCAAACTGAACTGAAGTTCAGTCAAAGGAGTATATTGTGCTAGAGCGACATGGCTGTTAGATTGACTAATAGGCATTTGCTGAGCAATTTTATAGGCGAATTTTTTTATAAGTTCATGATTGATAATGCCAACATTTGCTTGGCCATCAATGACAAAGAGAGCATCAACAATGGGCCAGATGCATTCCAGTGTTAGTGGAATACTCGTTATCATTATCCAAATCCACATTTCAGTGGCATATTTGTATGGCAACCACAAAAGTGGAATGAAATTTCGCAAAAATTGTTGTTTTTCTTCAATTGAACGATAATGAGTTACTGGACTGTTCAGATTTAAATCCGTATTGCCACCATATTTCATTAAAGTTGAATATAATAGAAATCTGAGTTTTTTTAAGCTCTTGTAGCTTTTTTTCAGTGTCGAAATAACAAAGTTAGAAATTTTATGAATACTTAAAGTAAAAATACTGACTAAATGTCAGTGAATAAAATTGAAATCCCAGATGTATTATAAGCAACGGTTGGGAAATCAAGTGCAAGCGTAGCACCAGAAACGTATCTAAGCAAAATCCATGTTGCCATAAGCTAAAATTATATTGAATAGAAAAATATATTCAAAAATGTCGTCAAAAAATAATCGAATATAGCGGAACTTGTTGGAGAAATTCGTTTGTCAAAATTATATTGAAGATTTTGCTGGAAATCTTGCTGTTAGTGAAGCATTTCATTCAAGATCGCAATAAAATTAGAAATTCCTTTTTTTATTGTGACTCAAAAACAGAAATAAAAATATGAAAAAAAAAACTTGTAGAAACTAACCTTAAATTTTATAAAAAATTTTTAAATTAGCGTTCATATGCAGATGATTTCATGATTGAGACTACACGTAATGCGATATCGACTTTTAAACTTTGACGACAAAAAATTTCATTAAAAGTAAAGATTTTGGTTATCTACTAATACTTCTAGTCCTAATCTCTAGTGAATGATCTTTTTTCAAGCAAGCAGAGAAGATAGCCAAACCATCAGCCACACATGAGAAGAAAAAGATTAGCGTAGCATTTGATGGTAAACAAAGTCCTGTTCAACAGCATCTGCGTATATCTTAAAATCCTTTTAGGGCTATAGAAGAATGCTACATCTGTTCGTTAAAAATTTTTTCAGCTATCAGTATGCCGTATAAATCTAGATATGCATTAACATTGACATGTAAGTAGACCTAAAGTTATGAAAATTTTGACTATCTACAATATGCTGAAACAAACGAAACGATCGCAGAGAAAAGAAGTTTTTGATATTGATAATGGCAAGATTGGCGCTTCAAAATTCTTGAGATATCGGCGTGTTTTTTAGCATTCAACATCTTTATTCGAGTAAAAATTTATCACATGCATTCATTCATAAGACACAACCACAAGTCTGGAATTCGCAAAAATTGAATCAAGAATGAGTGGTAATCGGCACGACTTCACGAAATCATCTTCAGATATTTTGCCAATTCAGCTAAGTCTATGAATTAATTGGTCTGACAGAAGAAAACTATGAAGAAGGATTAGCATTTGCAAAAATCGTCATATCTGTTCACCTAGTTGATTCTTATTTTCCTAAAAACTCACATAAAATTTCTTTCCTGAATTCAAATAAAAATTCCCTTGAACAATACAATATATTCGTTTGGTTAAATGTTGAACGAAACAGTTAGTTAAAAATGGATATCATTCAATCTATTCGAACTGATAGATACAATAAATACTTAATGTTAATGTTGATTCTAGCTTGTTAGCACAATAGAAGAACGTAAAAGTTTTATAATAAAAATCAATTGCTCTGTTGTTTTTTCATAAGTACTGCCATTTTTTATCAATTAAACACACATTCATCCACTACTAATTTCGTTATAGCATTAGGACTATATTATTTCAGTTCTGAGAGTATGAAACTAATTTTAATCAGCTTGTCACTTAATAATTAGAATAGTTTGATATATTTTATTTGACCAGAAGCACAAAATCTATGAAGCCAGCTTTTGATGCGCACGATTTACTGTTCAATCGATTGCCAATCTTTGCTCAAACTATTTATAATTATTTAATATAATTATTGGAAGTTCTTCTAGCATACAACTGAATTTACGAATTATAAACCTTATTATTAATGGCCTTTCTTATTAATATAAATATGAATTTTTTTTTTTTAAGAGCCCTCACCATTACTGGTTAAACTCGCTCCACTGGCTTGTCGCATTAGGCAATATGCCAGCGAGTCCCTTGGCGACAGAAATACAGGTGAGTCGCCAGCATCTTTATACAGGTTTACTCCCGCAGGGAATCGAACCTCAGCATCGGCGCTCCAAACTGAGCAACGACCCAACAGCAATATAAGTATGAATAAGCATAAGTATTGCCAAAAATTGTTAAATAATGATTTTTTAAACAATTTTAGCGATGTGGTTGAGGAAATATTTTGAAAAAAGAATTTTCAAGTGAAGGAAAAGGCTCTTTAATGCATTATTTTATTTTATGATTCCTGGATAGAATCACATTTTCAAAGAATGGGTCCAACAGGCTATTTCCGTAAACTTCTGCACAAGCAATCTCAGCGGAAGCCAGGTAATTTCAAAATATGCTTACTAATAGTCCTAAAATTTTAATCTTAATAATCTTGATTTAAAAACATTTATCCATTTGCTTTCAACAAATACTCATCAAAATTGCAACATTTTTCTTGAACTCTTGAAGATTTTATACAAGAAAACGATGTTTCGTATCTTTGCCTAATATGTAAAAAAAATAAATCGCGAAAAATACTACCTCAAAATGTTGTGCAACTACACATGCATTTTGTTTATCTTTCTTTACTGAACTGTTTGAGTTTCTTATTCTTATTCGAAGATATCAATAAAAAGCTTATATTTATATCGGTCTTCTTGATATCATTTATATCACTTATAGTCTTTCAAACAATCTTATTTTGAGTTTTTAAATTTATCTTATGATTTATTACATGTCTCCTGGATATATTTTAGTTCTTTTTCCTAAATTTATCATGATCTCTATAGAATTAATCAAGCGATCCAGTTTTTATGGATATTAGTGATAGATTCCACTCGCACATTATTAATCCTTGATTCAAGTATTATAATAAATATTAAAGGCAAGGCTTTAGTCGTAAGTTTGTAGCATTTTTTTAAAGAGGATTTTTGAATAATAGATTTATTTCTGTCGAACGCAGAACCTCAGCATTGGTGTTTCGAAATGAGCAGCAACGCACTGAGCTATTCTATCTTCTTTTGCTTTCACTGTTCGGCAACACTGCCTCTCGATGATGCGTGACACATCGGCCGGATTCAAGCCCAATCCATTCTCGACTTTCGGTAGCAGTCATATTGCATTAAGCCACCGACTCATTTAGTAGAAATATTAAATGATTTTGTAAATAATTTTATTTACTTCTGCTTTAAAAAAACTAGATAGGGGCGATGCACAGATCATATCATTAGGTAATTTATTTCAACTGTTAGTGCGAATAAAGAATCATCGGTTCATATTAATAATTTTGGCCCATTAAATCTCACTGTAATCAAATTTAAATTAAATTTTCAGGCGAAGGTTTAATATTTGTTATAATATAGGTAAAGGTAAAATTTTAGAGCTGATTCGCTATGAGCTTATATTATACAAATGACGTTTCGACTTGCGTCAGTGGTTCTATTTTTTAATGGTATTTTTACTCTTTACGGTTTTTAAAATAAATGGAATATTAAAATCGGTAAATTTAAAATATCCCTTTGCTGCAAAATGGCTGCAAAATCTGAAACATTGTGCTAGTCGTTGTCGTTAATAAACAATCGAAGATAATGGAAAGGATATCTTGAAACCAGTATGCACCAATTTAGCATATAAGTAAAAACAATAGCATGCTAAAAATTCGACTTGCTTTTAATGATATCATTTGCTTTATGCTCTAATAACTTTATGCTCTAATGACCAAAGGATAAAAAAACGAAACGAATGACCAAAGCAGCCAACTTGAGGTGCTCATGACCCTACTAGCAGAAATCTGCTATGGAATTATCGATTTTTATGGGACTTTTAGATAATATGAGCCATCTAATCTCGGAGTTTTTCATAACTGGTAACACCTAGCTTGTAAAATTGTATTATTGGCTAATTTTAGCCAAGGATATTTATAATAGGTTAAAGAGATTTTTCCATTTCTATTAAAATTTTTCCTTTTTCTTTACTTTTTTCCAATCTCATTGGGATGTTGGCTTCACAGTCCATTTATCCATTCGCTATCTTTTGCCATAATGTGAATAAATTTATCCATAAATCAATAGTATCAACTTACAATCGTATACAGTGCGAAATTTCCTTTATTTCGAATGTACTGTTCGTTTACACAATTAGTTTAATTGATTTTGTAATCTAATGAGTTTATAAAACTGCCAATCGTTTTAAGGAAACAAATTTTTTCCTCTTTTCGTAAAGCCTTCGTTCCTTATTAGATGATCAGTTCTATTTTGCCATCTGAGTTTTTGTTAAAACGTTTGTTGTCTTTTGTAAATGGATCATATTTAATTTGAATGTAAATTAATGTAAGTTTTTTTTTCAAAAATTGCTTTATTGAAGGGCCTTTCAGTTTCTTAATATTTCCAACCGAAATTTTATGCTATTTCCATTTCAGTTTTGGTAACATTATCGTTATTCTTTGTTCTAAGAGCACTCACCAATCCTGTTAAAATATGCTTCACTGACTATTGTCTTCGTCATAGAGTCATTGATTTTACTTGAAAATCACACCCAGGACGCCACCATCTCCCATATTTTACTCTTAATGGCAAGCTTACTCTATAAAGGATGATGAGACGATAGACGATGGACGAAGGCTTATGATAGCTTAAGTTTAATCAAAGCAACATATTTTTTGACCACCCGGTTGTCGTTTCTTTTCTATACATTTATACGATCAGTTTTTCAATTTTATTAGAATTTAACGTATTCAAACATACCTAATAAGTTTAGTCCAATAGATTTATTCATATTAAATTATCCAAATTAAATGCTTTGTTAGGTTATACTAATTACATATTTCATTAATATTTACGAAGACTCGAAATGATTTCATTCTGATCATTAAACTTACCAAGCTTTCGGTGACAATCGGTGTTAGCTTAAGACTGGGTGATGTAGTACAGTGAAGATTTAATTTGAACTAAGGCTTTCAGAATTCAAATCCTTCCATCAGAATAAAAAGCCAAATCAAAACTGATTCGATGAATTGCCACGAGAAATTTCTGGAAGATGCATCGGTTACCACTCCAAGTTTATCAGTTCCAGATTAACAGAGTGATTTAAGAGTGCATAATAAATTCAACTCGAAATTATTGCAAGTAAACCTGTACAAAAATCCGGGTGATGTTGGCGACTCACCTATATTCTATCGCAAGAGGTTCCCTGGCATATTGCTCAATGTGACAAGCCAGTGGAGCGAGTTTAACCAGTAATGGTGAAGAATCTTAAAAAAAAAAAATGTTATTTAATTAAGCTTCCCGTTGCCAAGAAACGGTAATCGAGGATTCGATATTTAGCAATGTCCGTTCCGTTTACGAGCACTTTGAGTAGTTTTTTTTCCAAAGGAAGAGTGGGTAAAGCGTGATTCTGCTCAAATCGTTCGTAATAAAATGTATTCAATCGAAATTTTATTTTTGTGAAACATGGGATGCTCTGCTTCAGTGGCTAAAGGTGAAGTATTTTATTGCTCGTTACCATTCTTTATAAATTATGAATTATCCTTCTTTTTTTTGGGAAAAGAAAAAACGGAGCAGCTATTTTTATATTTCTGTTGCTTTTTGGTAATTGTAGAGTCACTAAGTGATGTAGTGAAACGATTGTTTTTGTTGTCATTTCCTAGTAGTCCTTTATTATTAGACACTGTCCCACTGTTTCATCTTACCTCTAATTAAATTAAATTAAATTAGCATTAATTAAATCTTTTTACATTCATCAACTCACTTTTCCAACGACGTGATAATCACGATTCATCCGTAAAATGCTATTTTTATTATTATCGTATAATACTTTAAACTGGTAAGTTGAAGTTCACCAGGGTGTATTGCTTTTTTTGCACTTTTTTCATGGAATTCTTA